TGTTAACTGCGATATACTAATTAATTCACAATTATCATAGGTCCCGTAATCAGGCTGTTGTTGACATGCAAGGTAGAACTACCATTAACAACAGAAACCAATTCATCATAAAATTATTCGCATGAAACCAAACAAGATATTTCAAAGCACACTTACCTCCTCTCTGAAGCAAAATGATACAATTTGAAACTGACTGTTACACTGTCAATTAAACTATGCCTCCCCCAGGCCAGATTACATAAACCACCATAGACGTTTCACCCTTAGCTAAGTGGCAAAATCCTTCAACTATAAAGACCTGTCCAAAGAAAGGACAGGTAGAAAGGAGGACTAAGCCTCACAAAGGTAAAATCCCTCAATATAATTGTCCAAAGGTACATGAATAAGCAACAGAGAAAATGGCAGTTAAACCCCTGACATCTTCACATTCAAAATACAGAAGTATCCTTCTGATATCCAGGAGATGGACAGCTCCCTTTTACCACACTTCCAAAATGTTTTATATTCTTCTACACTTTCATTCCTTCGATAAATATTTCTTGAGCGCCTATTCTGTTCATACACTAGACCCTGGTCATGTTGAATAAGACAGCTATAGGCCCCACCCTCCCAGAGCTCATATTCTAACAGAGAAGGCAGACTCTCAAGTAATGATTCACCTGCTTAATAAAACTGTGGTAACTCGATGGAGAACACAGGTGTTAAGACAGCACATAACATACAATCCATCCCATGCTTTCTTCTGCACCGAAAAGCAATTGTCTTAGTTGCTTACTACTGAAATCTAATTACCACTCTACGTGTGCACAACCTATCCGCAGTTATTCTGAATAACAGCCAGGTTCCCAACTGTAGCTCTCAGATGTACCTCTAGGGAGACAAAGAAATTAAACTAACCAAAAGTAATTTTGCCACCAGCAGCTTTTATACTATCAAGTTTTCTCTACATCTCTTTGCTGTCATATACAGGGTTACCTTAGGGAATAAAAATCTCTTGACTGTTTTGAGTCTTTACCCATTTATGGGATGATCTTCTTCAGAAGCTGTTTTAGAGGCACCTGGGTAGCTCAGTCGATTAAGCGTCCAACTTCGGCTCAGATCATGATTTCATGGTTCATGAGTTCAAGCCCCACATCGGGCTCTCTGCTATCAGCGTGGAGCCCGCCTTGGATCCTCTGTCCCCCTCTCTCTCTGTCCCTACACAGCTCGCATGCGCACACGCATGCACGGTCTCTGTCTCTCAAAAATAAACTTTTTTTTTTTTTAAGCTGCTTTAGGGGCATCTGGATGGCGCAGTCGGTCAAGTGCCTGACTCTTGAGCTCGGCTCAGGTTATGATCTCACAGTTTGTGAGTTTGAGCCCCACATCAGGCTGTGCTGATGTTGCACAGCCTGCTTGGGATTCTGTCTCTTCCTCTCTCTGCCCCTCCTCAATTTGTGCTCTCTCTCAAAATAAAAAAATAAACTTAAAAAAAAAAAAAGCTGTTTTAATTCAATAAGCATTTATAAAGCACTTACTGGTGAAGACCACACAATGGGAATGTGTGATCTTTAGGAAGGAAGTGTCTCTAGGGCAATTCACATTCCAGTGAAACTGACTACACAGATTCTTCCTGAGACACCTTTAGATTCATATTTTTAACATAAACACAATACTCAGTAAGGAACCCTCTACTAGAAGAAGCTGAGGTTATACATTTGTGACCCTCCTTCTTTTAAAATAACATCAACGCACTATATTTTCGTGAACGTTGGACACTTGTTAAAATGACCTTTGTTTTCCAGGATGATAGGAAATCTGCTGTCAGACACAGGAAGTGAGTCAGATAATGGAAGAGTGGAAAAGATAGGAATAGAAAAGCACACTAAAATTTCCTGTAGACCAGAACACCTACCTAGTTGGAAATATAAATTTAGGGAACACTGCTTATAAGAAAAAGTAGATTCCATATTACAGACACTGCTGCAAAGGAAACAGCTATCCTACTGGCACTTACCCAGAAAGCAGATCCTAGTAGGGGAAAAAAGTTTGTTTTTTGGTTTTTGGTTTTTTTAACATAATTGTCAAATTGGCTCGCATACAACACCCAGTGCTCATCCCAACAAGTGCCATCCTCAATGCCCATCACCCATTTTCCGCTCTCCCCCCTCCCAGAAAAAGTTTTATATGTCAATATTTACAGTGCAGAAGAGATAACAGAAAGGGGGGTAGAGCTGAAGGCAAAACAGGAGGTATCTGGGTTAATGACCTTCTTTAATGAAGTTGTAAAGCCCTAGTCATGGTTACCGAGAAGGCTTTGGAACTTCTTTCCACTTAAGTTTTAAGACATGTCAGCACCCCAGGTCAAAATTGTATGATACTACATTGCTTGAAAGCATCGGAATGTATTATATGACTTGCTACGGTCCTTTACAGTTTTTCCAGTTCCAACTAGGCCAAATCCATTATGATTTCCTTCAGCAATCCATTCATTCTACATATGTTTAATGGGTTCTTAGTATGCACAACAGTACTGTGCTCAGGTCGTGGTGGTCCGTACAAGTCTAACCTTGGATATTACATTCTAATAGGGAAACACACTAACAAATTCCATAAGGGAGCAGAGGGTGCTCTGACAGCACACTTAAGGGGAGAGGAGAGGGGCACCTGGGGGGCCAAGTTGGTTAAGCGTCCAACTTCAGCTCAGGTCATAATCTCACCGTTCGTGGGTTTGAGCCCTGCATCAGGCTCTGTGCTGATAGCTCGAAGCCCAGAGCCTGCTTCCGATTCTGTGTCTCCGGCTCTCTCTGCCCCTCCCCTGCATGTGCTCTGTCTCTCTCTCTCTCTCTCTCAAAAAATAAACATTTTGTTTTTTTGAAAAGAGAAGAGAGGAGAGCTTAGGGAATGCTTCTCTGAGGAAGTAACACTTAAGACATGAAGATGAATATAAACGGGAAGGGAAGCTACATTCCTGGCGGAAGTAACAACGTTACTTAAAGATCTGAGCAAAAAAAAAAAAAAAAAAAAAAAATGGCAGGAGGGAGGAGACGGCTACTAATGCTGTCAGGGGCAGAGAGTGAGAGGCATGACATGGACATGAAGCTGAAAGCAAGGACCATGACATTCAGAGTCATGTAGATCATGTTATGGACTGTTTGGACTTCATTCCAAGAGCAATGAGAGGACAGTAGTGGGTTTTAAGCAAAGGAGTGATGTGACCAGATGCACATTTTTTTTTTTTTAAAGATCACTATGAACCAGAGAAAAGACTATGAGGGAAAAGGGAATGTGGGCAAGCAACCAAATAAAGTAGTACCAGATTATAACCCCAAGTATAAACTAAATATTCATGAATCCACATTGATATAAATAGTTGGATAAATATACAATGGGAAGAAAAGACAAATCTCCCGTACATAATTGCAAACAAATTATGTCACTACTCTGCCCTCAAGGAGGGAGGGCATACCTCTCCACTCTCAAGTGAGGGCTGTGCAGAGTGAGTTCCTTCCAAAGAGAGTAACCTTACAGGGAGAAATCTAACAAACACTACGTTGGTCAGGTGGTCCAAATCAATATCAACAGTGAGTGACAAGTCATACTGATAGCATGTACTTATCACATGACGCAAGGAAATGGCACTTCATCTAATGCTCTTCCTCCCCAAACTCCATAACCCTTACCTAATCATGAGAACATCAGACAAATCCCAAGTGAGGGACATTCTACAAAATACATAGCCAGAACTCCTCAAAACTATCCAGGTTACCAAAAACAAGGGAAGTCTGAGAAATCGTCACAGCCGAGAGGAGCCTAAGGAGACAGGACGACTAAATGAAATGTGATCTCCTAGATGAGATCCCACAACAGAAAAAGAGCCTTGGGTAGAAACTAAGGAGATCTGAGTACAGACCTCAGTTAATAATGTGTAAATATTGGTTAATTGTGACAAATGTACCATACTAATCTGAGATGTTAATAGAGAAAACTGGGTATGAAGCATAGGGGAACTCTACTATCTTCACAATTTTTCTGTGAATCTAGTCTAAAAGTATTCTAAAATAAAAAGATGACTTAAAGCGTACGTGGGAAGAGTGGTAATGGAACCACTCGTCTAGCTTTGGCTAAAAATGATAGAAGGTACAGGACCTAGTGATTCACTAGTTGGTGGGTGAGGTAGAGGAATTGAGAGTGAAAGCGACACAGAGAGCAAGGATGAAAGGTTACAGCCCAGATTTCAGGCTAGGAAAACTGGATGGGCAGGGGAGTCATTCACTGATAAGGGAGCAGCGGAGTAAAACCAGATTTGGAGGAAAGTTAACAACCAGCATTGACTGGAGGCTCATTACGTGTCAGGCCCTTCTCAAATGCCTATAATCATTTTGCACCATAGAGACTATTATTTGGCCCAAAGCCAAGTAAAGAAATTAGAGTTTGGGATCAGGTTTCTATGTGCTCCAAAGCCCGCGCTCTTTCTACTACACAGTTCGTTCGGTGCACATGTACTTCACCTGGCAGCCCAAGCGCCACAAGCTACTGAAGTGGACTGCATCAGCAGTGCGACCTCAGTAGTTACTCCTACTCCCCGGGCCTCATCTGCCAAAGACTAGCTCCATCTGAAGTTGTGTGCAAGAGGCGGGTGGAGATTTCATTAAAATGAAGACAACTAAGACACCACGAAAGGAACTGCATCAGCTAATAATGATGATGGTGGTGGTGGTGATGATGAAGACGAAGTAAAGAAGCGCAGGGAATTCTCTGGTTCCACTCCCGTGGAGAGGTCTCCTAAGGCAGAGGCAATCCCCCGGGGAGGGTACCGAGTCAAGGCGGCGGCCCTAGGATGCTCCCACGCACCTTGACCCCTAAGCCCCAGGTCTCGGCAGGACCCTCGGGGAAACGCCGGCCAGCCCGCCCGCCCAGGGCCACGCGGCACAAGGTGACACGGACCGCGCCTGCCCCTCAGCCGCCAGGGAGAGGCCGGGACGAGAAGGGAGTGGGACGTCCACGGGGCCCCGCGCTACCTTGTACTTATCAAAGCCAGCCAGCTGCTCCGGGCTCACGTATTCGTAACCAGCCATGACGACCCGAACACCGAGCGCCCACTCGGCAGCGACTCTCCGCGACGAGGTGCGGAAACACGAGCACCACACCGGCAGAGCAAGGATGGGAAGGCTTGGGCAGGCAAAGGTGGTAGGAGAGCTGCGCTCCGCCCACCGCGCACGCGTAGCGGCCTCAGGCCACTTCCGCCGCCTCCCAGGGCGCAAGCGCAGCCTCCACCTCTCCCCGCCCACCGAGGGAGGATCGCTAGCCTGCTCACGAGGTCCGCCCCCTCACGCCGTCGCAGTCCAATCAGCGTGGATCGGACAACACGAAGTCCCGCCTTCCGGGTCTTCTCGTCTCTTCATTCGCTAACGTCAAAATTGGTGAGCTGAAGTAAGGCGAGAGTGGAGGTAAAAGGTCAATTTCCCAGGGGGCCTTGCTCCTCCCTCCGGGGCTTGGGGCAGTTCTCTGGTTTCGTTCGGGTTGCGGTGGTTGTTTGCGAACCAGTTCAGAAGTACCATGGAAGGAGCCGTGACGTGAACTTGCCAGAGAAAGGGTGTGTGCCCGGCGCGCTGCGGCTCCTGGCAGGCTGTAGGAGCTCAGGAAGGTGATTGGACGTAGAGAAACCAGTGGGGAGCCTCGGGGAAAGGCTTTTTCCGTCTGTCGGGAAAAGAGGAGACGAACCCCTCAGACCTCTTCGCTCTCCGCTCTGTCAAACTGTTGCAAATTGAAATTGCTCACGTCTCCAACCAGATAAAAGCACGGGTCTCTGAGTCTCTAGGGATCTTTAAGTGCGTTTGCAGGAAATGCATGCACGTAACTGGAGCCAATAGTAGAAAGAACACTAGATCAATGGCTAGTGTGTATCGAGCTAATAATAAAATTTAATAATAGTAATAATTGCTCCCTTTTCTTTTTTTGAGCACCTTCTATGAGGGGAACTTTGTATACATTATCACCAACCCGCATAACAATACTATTAAGTGGAAGGCACTTTCCCTATTTCGCAGATTAGGAAATAAAAATTCAGATTACCTAACTTGCCCAGGATCAGGCCATTAATTATACAGCTCGGAAGTGGTCAACCCAACACGAAATGAGGTTCTTGGTGTCGGAAACCACTACCTAAGAAAGATTCTCAGTCTCTGGGTCTCTGAAACAAGGGTGATTCTTTTAAGATCTCTTATGTTCCTTATATTAACTCGTTAAACATAATTATCGGGTGCTCAATATATGCCAAGAATGTTATTATTTCTGCGTGTGTCTCCTCTCACTTTCTAAAGTACAAGGTTCTTATGAGGTAATAGATATAAAGCATCTATCATCACACCTGATACATGGCAGATGATCAATAAACTTGAACATCATTTTCCTTCACTTGTCCTAAGGAAAGGACCTGTATCTTGTACACCTTAATTTTCCCTTGTCCTTATAGTCCAGTGCCTTGCAGATAATACATGGTCAATACCTTTCCTTGAATGAATGAGCAGCGATCTCTCTGCTATGCTGTGCGGTGTCTGCTTTGAGGACATTAGAAATGTGGATCTCCCTTTAATCTAGGAAGAAAATTGCCTCTAATGAAAGGAAAACTATGAAACCACCTTCTTCGACGTGTAAAAGTATTTCCTTTGTGCATGTACTGTATTTAAATCCCTTCTGTGTACTGATAAGAAAACTGAATTGACAAGGCCTCTGCCCTAAATATGTGTTTTGGACAATGTATTAATCAGACTGAGGCTACCGTCCCAAGTAATATGCTACAGATTTCATCTGCTGTGTGTTTCTTCTAATCAATATGAACAGGAAAAAAAAAATCTTCGCATCAAATGCTTGCTGATATAAGGCCTGTGCTTATCCATCACCCACTGACGCTTATCTGTCCTCTCTATCTCATACACTGACCACGCTTTCTGCTTTCCAAAATAATCATCATAGAAAATATTTGTGCTAGAAGCAATGTTACCACCTTTGTAATATAAACTGGAAAAAAAAAAGTGTTTTCATTCGTGGCATTCCTGCTTTATTTAGGTTTAAGTATGAGGGTGTCAGATAAATAGATACCTAGAAAATTGGAAGTTAAGGACTAACATAGTTAAAAACTCCAACATCAGTTATTAAAGCCATAAAAATGGCCGAGGTTTCCCAAGGAAGGTTATAAAAAGATACTGATTTGGTTTGCATTTTAAAATAATACTGATGCCTTTATAGTAAGTTCTATGATTTTCAAAGGAATTTGGTATCTCACTAGATCAGCTTAACAAGCCTGAGCCATGGGCCAGATAGTTGTTCTAATTGTACAGAACAGAACGGCAGAAGTATTCTATTATATCTCACGCAAAAATTACCCAGTTTGTGGTAAAATTGGAATAAGAGCACGGGTCATCAAATTTTTAAATAATTTTAAAATAATTTTTCCACTACACCTTGCTTCTACAAGTTACCACAGTAAGATATTTAAAAAGGGAGGGGCGCCTGGGTGGCTCAGTCGGTTAATCGTCGGACTTCAGCTCAGGTCACGATCTCACCGACCGTGAGTTCCAGCCCCGCCTGGGGCTCTGGACTGATGGCTCAGAGTCTGGAACCTGCTTCCGGTTCTGTGTCTCCCTTTCTCTCTGCCCCTCCCCCGTTCATGCTCTGTCTCTCTCTGTCTCAAAAATAAACGTTAAAAAAAAAAGAAAATTTAAAAATAAAATAAAACAAATAAATAAAAGATATTTAAAAAGGGAAAATTCACAAGTCAGTTTTAAATCAAGGCTAGAGGGGGGTAAAAAAAAAAAAACTAGGAAAGAACTGAACAGACTCATTAAATTGCTTATTGTTTCCTAAAAATAGAATTCCCTTGCTAGAGTGAACCTTCTCTAGTTAAGTTTTGTCTGCTTGGTTTTTGCTGTATTTCACATTTTTCAAAAACATAATCCCAAGTAAAAATGTGTAGAGAACTCTATTTGAATGGGTCATCAACCAATTATCACAGAAAAGATCTGTGCAACATACTGAGATTCAGTATAAGCTAATACTGCTTTGTACTTCCACTCCCCAAGTCAGTAGAGGCTCTCTGCTGTTCTGTGACTTGTCACCCCACCTGCCTCCCAATGGTTTTCTGGTCATTTTTGTTCCCTTAACCTTTGAATACAAACTCAATTGTGTCCATAGTCATTCAAAACCCAGATAATCACTGTAAAGTTTCAATCTAGTGTCATATGAAGTAAGAATAAAATGACAGGGGCGCCTGGGTGGCTCAGTTGGTTAAGTGTGCGGATTTG